TGATATGAAGCACCGGATAGTAGTAAAGATTGGTTTATCGAGGGGGCTATGAATACATCGGATGCGGGGGTTTCAAGGGCAACATCTACTTCCATCTGGGAGTCTGCCATATTTGAATTGATTCTGGTAAGTTGCAAAAGTTTGTCGATTTTGGCGTTCTTTTGATTGGGAATCTGAGGAAGACGCGTTTCGCGACGATTTCGCGTACATTACTTTATTTCATGAATCTACAGGGGTTGGCGAGCGAACAACTCCCGGTGCGCAGGTCATGGTTATACGCCTATTGCACCCATTAATTTCACGTCCAATCTAGCATGATGTCATTATAAAAACAAACGAGGCATTTACGTTGCGAGACGTTTCTAGAGTTGGGTAAAATCCCTTCATTCGCTACATAGACACCCCAAAGGATGGACATATCAGTGCACTTGATGTCCATATGACAATGCTGACGATGATTAAGAAGCATGGTATCATCAAAAAACCTTCAACAATTAACTCCCCAGCCAGACGTGAGAACATAAGCCCATTTTTCCACCCTGTCATACCACAAACGTGAAAGCACAAGTTGCAAAAAGACGAGGGAAAACAAGTAGACACCAATTACATTATTTGTACATTACTGACTTGCAGGTGGAGCAGCGCCGCCTTCCGAATCTCTAAGTTCACAACCTTGCGCGAAAAATATTCTCGCTGGTTTGTCGTAATCGTTGGTGATGCTATAAAAGTTTCCTATATTGTCTTAGTATTTGAGTAAATGAGCAATTAGTGAAGTTGATGCTTACCTCGAGGGACTTGCCACTGTCCACCTTTGCCGATTCTGAAAGTCGTCTCGTTGACCGAAACTTCGACTCTGCCATAGAACACAAAAAACACCATCTGCATCTTCCTCGAATTCTTTGGTTTCTTGACAGCGCCAGGTTCGAGGTCAACCATACCTGAACCGAAAAAGGGCAATGTAAGGGTTTTGGCAAATTTGAACGAAGCATTTGGAATATCGCGAGTCTTGATTGCAGCTGACGAAAAAGCGACTTCTTCCACTTTCTCTGCAGCATTTTCTCCAACTTGATCTTCCGGATCCCATATTCGTACTGAGCCCTCAATGCGGCCAGGTTGGGATTCCCATTCTTCTGTCTCCGAATCTTCATCCAATTCCTCTCGCGCCCTCTTCTTTGATTTGCTTTTGCTAGATTTTTGATATTTCGGTTTCGAGCGCTTTTCTTGCTCTACTTCATCTACACGAACAACCTCCTTAATGCTAGGTAACAGAATCTTTGCACCGTGGGTTCCATCTGGCACCGTTCCGTCATCGTCATATTCGACGTGCTCACCCTTCCAGAATGCGAGAGGCTTCATTGAGTTACGGCCAGATCTTGTTCGTAGCATACCAGTACCACCCAATGCGGTTTCGCGCCGAAGAATATAGAGGCCATTCTTCCTGGGAATAGGGGGACCACGATGAACTAGAGGCGAATCCACCTCAGATATTGGGGCCATCTTTGGTCGACCTTTCGGTTTCGCCGCTGCTTTGGGTACAGTGGTGGATTTCGAGGCATTACTCGGTCTTCCAGGTTTTCCAGTTTTTTTCTTTGTAGGTTCGGGTGCTCCGACAGCTTCTGCAGATCGTCGTGCTTTCTTTGTAGGTCTTTCTTTAATTTCCTTTCTTTCTTCCTCCACAGGTTCGATTTGAGGAGCCGAATTCTTCGGTTTCCTGCCTCTCCGTTTTGGTGCGGGCTGCTCTAGTTCCGGTACTTCCCCTGGCTCTGGCTCTGGCCCCTCAATCACTTTCCCTTTCCCTTTCCCTTTGTTCTTACTTGCTACTTTTCTGGGCGGGGAAGGTTCCGGTTCTGGCTCATCCTCTTGTTCGATCTCTTCTTCCTCTTCTTGTTCTTCATACTCTTCTACCAAGTCTGAGTTTCCCTCGAGCGCATCGACAACAGCATCGTCATCATCGTCATCCGGAGCGTTGTATTGATTTGAATCATCTTCGAACTCCAATGCACTGTCGTCTTGATTCTCCATACCATCGCTACTCTCGTTTAAAGTTTGCGGAGGGCGTCTGCCAGGTGACAGTCTAGTGCCATTCGTGAGATTACCTAGTGCTGGGCGTCCTGGCTTTCCTCGTCCATTGGGAGCACTCGTTGCCTGTTTCCTTTCGACTGCTATATCTTCGGCTGAGAAATCCAACTTTCGTCGGACAGGACCCGTATTATCGGCTTCACTAGACGCTTCTTTGGCGGGGGAAGATATGCCGAATGATGGATGCCTGCGGGCTGGCGACTGTAGGTGTGTTTTTAAAGGCGACCTCGATCTCGGTATAGGCAGAGCCAATCGCGCATCTTGTCTTCGTTGATTCAAAACTTCAGTAGGTTCCGGGGCTGTATCTAGAAGAACATCAATATTGCCAATCGCGCTGGCGCGTTTCTGGTTATATAAACATACTTTCTCCATCCATATCCATATCCTCCTCACTAGATATTGTCGCGTCTTCCAGCGCGTTTCTCCGTGGTCCATTTGCGCTTCTAGCCGTCTTAACACTTTCAGGTTTATCGGGAGAAAATAAATCATCCATTGGCTCCAAGCCATTTGCATCGCGAATTCCAGTATCTGGGAGTTCAACCCCAGTTTTCCTAGTCCTATTTTAATGATGTATAAACAAAAGAACAATTAACCACTAACCTTCCCTTGACTCCTAAGTTAAACAAGTATTGATTCTCCCTATTTGCACCTGTTCTCCGCCTTCCTGGCGGTGATGCGGACTGTTCGGGTGCCATCTCGAAATCAAAGTTGAATGCTACGCGTAAACAGACGAAAGGGCGAACGCGTTTTTAGCTATCGTGATTGTTAAGGTGAATGTTATCAAAATGCTATAGAGCCATATGCGACAGTGATTCTGTAGGAATTTCCTAAGATTTCACGCCTTTGAAGGATGTGTGGCGTGAAGTACTTTGTTGATGAGGGGGGTTGTAAATTGCAGATATGCCAGATTCCTTAGTGTCCTCGAGAAATAAATCCCGGCTAAGTGACCCCAGGTTCAAGGGAAAATCACTGAAACCGAAAGTCACCAATACCACCTACCTGCCTATATAAAATGACCTTCTAAAACATGCTATTATATTTATTTTTCATGTATATAAATGTGTTATACTTATTACCTATCTACAAGTGAGTTTCAAATGACGAAGTTTATTAATTTTGATATTTGATAATAAATAGTCACTTGTTATATTTTATTCACAGAGTTAATAAGTTTAATTAATAGCAAAATATCTACCTACTTCCACCAAATAAACGAGGTTTCTTCGTCCCGAGGTCGCTATTAGCACAATTTCACTACTTAAGAGTGAATCACTCTATCAATCACCGAATGACGGGTATGATCGTGTCGGTGTCGAAAGTGATGGTAGTTGATGATATGATATATCGTCACAATGTATGAAAATGAAAGCAACCAAACGGCAAGATTTCCATATTGGAATGTGATATTGAAATGACAGAGTAGCTCCTGCGTAGCACGTGAACTATACTCCAATCTAGTTCGGGACTACTGTGTGAGTATCTTGCTAAGGGAACTTCGCACGGAGAGGCTATTCCTGTACATGCATTGTTGTCTTCTTCTCTCCCCCATGAAGAATTCCGCTCCAAAAAGGTTCTTTCCATCTGTCTCGTTCAATGAAGAATTTGGCTCAAGTCCACTCCTCTGCACCACAAGTGAGCAAAAAGCCTCGAGATTCGCAGAACCTATAATGCCAAAAATCGTCATATTAGCTCTCGACTTCCTCGAAACTAATCTTAGAGCTCCATGACAAGCAGCGAATCGACATAGTACTCGTAGAACGGTGTCGAAGTATCGATATTCTCAGTCGGCACCAACAATGGAGGGTACTATCTGAGCTGGCTCGGGTCGCCACACCTGCACATGCACATCCCATGGGTCTGTGGGTGTCGACACGTCCTCGGGTCGTGAGCAGATCAAGAAAGTTGACACTGGCTGATTTGACTTTGATGTCGATCTCCATTGGACCCAGTGGTTCGTTGGGGTTTTCAACCTGGTGAAATAGAATGAGTCAAGAGACTCGGGATATGTAATTTTCAAAGTGAGTGGCGATCCAGACTCGAAAGATTTTGCCTTCAATTCTTGAGCCTGTGTCTTTTCAATCGAGCTCTGAGCTAAAGCAGGCGAGACAAAAAAATATTCTGTGTACTTGGAATGCTGCCCAAGGCTGTTATTCAGGACTCGGTCCTTGAAAATATGAGATGATCGTTGAAGCCTGAGATCTCACTGACGTCTGAAGGTCTTGGAGCCACAGGGTCACCACTGAAAACTTGGTTGGCTCGCTCACAGCGCGATCCGCGGTACAAAAGTGCAGGTGAAGCGAAAGAGAGAAAAGCCTACATATAAAGCCAGTCTCGCTACACTTCCGACGCACCTAGTAGCGAGTCCAGTCAATCCAAATTCCTAGGAAGTTCATTGAAGAATGAATGCTGTCAAGCTTCACGCCGTCTTATCATGAGGGAATTGATGCACGAAGTCGAAAAGTCATGGACTACGTTTCAACTTGCACTTGAGTGTGAGCTCTTCCTGCAGTATGGATGCCCTGATTTGGTTTTGATAGAGCGTCGCTGTAGTTTTCAGTAATATTAAAAGAAACTCCACTGTGTTTGGCGAGTCTCTCTGCAAGTCGTTTTAGTGGCAGCATTTTTATTTCACCCAATGGCTCATTGTGATAGGTTAATTCATGATAAATCTCGATTGGCAAGGTTACCCACAACATTCTACGCTATAGAAATACGAAATAAATCTCTCTAGTAATCCTCATAGCCCAATTCCCTCGCGGTCTTGGACGTCTTGAATCACTCAAAATCAATTACAAAAGTTCTTCTGCAATAACCCAATCTACCTTGAGGGACAAAGAGTAAATATTGGGCCCGCTCAATAATAACTACAAATGTCAAAGAGATACAATTTTGTTCGTATGCTAACACAACATCTTCCGAGCTCAACTTCCGTTTCTAAAAGAAGAAAATAAATCAGAATCTCTAATAACCTCTTCTGGAGGTCCAAAATGTGCCACTTCGCCCTTCTCCAAAATCAAAATTTTGTCAAATTCAACAGCGGCCTCGAGGCGATGTAAAACTGAGATCACGGTCTTTCCTTGCAGTCTTTTGGCGACGATGTTCATTATTTTTCGCTCAGTGTCGACATCGATACTTATCAGTCTGGTAGTTCCCACTAATTTTCAATGAAATTGGTGGTCTCTTACCTGCTAGTGGCTTCATCAAGTAGTACGACACCTCCTTTATTAGAGTCCTCGATTCCAAGAATAGTTCGGGCTAGGACAAAAAGTTGGGTTTCGCCAACCGATAGATTTACATCACCTGATTTGGCAGAGAGAGATCCTGATGCATTGATTTTGTTCAGCAAAACACAATCATGTAGGGCGTTGTTGATAGTCTCATCAGACAATTTTCCAGCCGGATCTAGTGCATCGCGAATGATTTCTCCATCTGTGAACGCGTCTTGCGAGATAACATGGAGTTTGGATCGTAGAAAATATCGTTGGACTTTTGAGATATCGATACCATCAAGATATATGGTACCTTTTGTTGTTTCAATCAGAGCCAAGAGAGATAGTAACAAAGTCGACTTTCCAGAACCACTACGACCACAAATCGCAATCTTCTCACCAGAGTTGATTTTCAAAGTTATTGCTCGTAAAACTCCACGAAGGCTTTTCTAAATCTAGATTATAGCTTGTCCAGACGTTTTCAAAACTCAGCTGACCCGAAGCTGGCCACGTAATGGGTACATCAGTTGGCGATGCAACTTCTGGCTCTACAGGTGTTTCTTGCTCAAAGGCTTCAATTCTGGTGATAGCTCCAAGAGACGTCTCCAAAGCTGTCCAAGATTGAATGGTCTGTGTCAGTGATTCTCCCAAACTCACCAGATTCAAAAATGCTACTCCAATTCCTCCGGCACTTGTCTTGTGGCGCAAACCAATAGCCACACCAACCATTAGTACTGCAAGTCCGGCAACTACTAAATTCAGCGTCAACTGAAGCCAAGTTTGTACCATGTAGAGAAGATATATTGGCTCTTGTGATCTGTCCAGCTTCTCGTAAAACTCCCCTTGCATGATGTTCTGCCAGCCATGAGCCCTAATCGTTACCAGTCCTTCATATATCTCTGCAATCATTGTGTGCAAGCCAGCCTTGGACTCTAAATCAAGTTGTCGCAGTTGTTTTGATGTTCGTAAGTAGAAGTTTTGGATCAAAAAAAGCACGGCTACCAGAACAGGAAGGATAGCAACGATAGAAACAGCAGAAATGGTAATCAAGATTGCCTGGAGAATGGCGGCAAATAATCCAGAAACAGTGTTCAGAAGTTGAAATGGAAGTTGGGTATCAACAAGCATAAGGTCTTGGTTGAACCTGTTTATGAGGCTTCCGGAATCGATGGTGCTGATGAAGGTGAAAGGTGCATCGAGGACAGATCGGAGTAGTTTACCGTGTAACCCAACACCTGAAGTTGGAATAATTATGAGCATGAGGTGACTACAATGAATTAGTTTAGAAACATTTCTAGGCCAGGGATAAACGCACGCCGCCCAAAGGCTTATGGTGACCAGTGGAAGCAGATTTAAGAATGCATAGATACCCATCCAGTATTCAACGCTTTTCGTCGAGCTGCCAGTACTTGCATCAGACCACCACTCTGCCCATATATCTAATTTCTGTTAGTGGCTATGATAATTTAAGTAATCGCAGAAAAACCCTACTTGGGAATCTAAAAGTGAAGGCAAACATGATGGCACCAATGAAAAAGATGATTATGTTTGAACGCCCGATAGAAAGGAGATACTCTTGGTAGACCCTTTTATCTGCGATTTTAGTTGGGTCTGCATGATTAATTTTTGATCGGGATTGAGGACTAGGGCTGGAATTTGTAGCTTTGATTGGTTTCCCCTCGATTTTGTCTTCCAGCGCGGACTGAACTGTGCAAGCTACGGGCTGCAACTGCTGGAGGTTTCCTGCACCGTCTATTTGAAGAACCATATCGGCAGCTTCTATGAATTGTTCTACAGAGGATTAGGAGATGGCATAATTTTCGTCAAAGGCCTGCTTACGGTCTTGAGTAACATGAATAACTGTAGTTCCTTGCTCGCGTAAGATACCTTTCCGTCCAAACAACTTTTCTTGCATAGAAGTCTTTGTAGTTTTATCTATAGCACTGAAAACGTCATCTAGTAGTAAGATTGCAGGTCGAGTTGCAATCGCACGTGCTAAAGCCTAAACTCTGTAAGCCGTTGTCTCATTCGTGCAAGAGAGCGACTTACTATTTGCTGGCGTTCACCACCACTTATTTTAGCTCCACCACTTCCGACAGTCTGATGCGAACTTTCTATACTCAATAAGCCGCCGAGATCACAACTATCAGCAACCAAGTTCTCCCATGATTTGTCGCTGGGTGCGCTTCTAAATGCATTTCTGTGCGCGGAAACATTTTCCAACCACGGATTTTGGCTGCAATACCCGATGCCTATACCTCCAACATGCATAGTTCCAGTCTTAAGTTCGACTTCACCAAGTATCGCTTGCAACAAGAGCGACTTGCCGCAGCCGACAGGACCAGTCACGGCGACGTGTTGACCTGCAGCAATTTCAAAATTTATATCGTGCAGACTTATTTCAGTGCCCCAGCCAAAGCTTGCGTACCGCATGGATAATACTGAAAGATCTTTTGACTTTACCGCATATTCTTCCTTCTCCTGGTTTAATACTTCTTTCCCATCTGAAAGCTCAGTCTTGCTATCACCTTTTCCGTGCTTGGTCCCATCGACTACAGTCACTCTGGGGTCAATGACGTCTGACTTCTCAAAGAAGTCTTCTACACGAGAGAAGCATCCAAGCGCGGCCCCAAAATGCGGGAGAATTTGTAAAATGCGTATGAGTGGTGATGCAAGCAGATTGATGAGAATAAGAGAACCGAATAATCTTAAGGCATTAAAGTCCCCATTTGTAGCTCTAGTGGAGCCGATATATGTTCCAAAAGCAACAACGGGCGCCAATGTGAGAGTGGAGTACGCTTTTGACAGATGTTAGTCGACGCGTCAAGAATCCTGAGTATCGATGCACTCACATGAGATTAAACTTCCAATCAGAAGTGTACGAAATGACTTGGAGGCCACGAATTCGAGATCCCGAAATTTCTCGATGGTCATTCGTACACGCTGACTGGCACCCATCATTTTAATTGCCTTTAGAGAAGACAGCATTTTCCTTGTTGCTGCAATTCTCTTCTCTGTGCCTTGCCAAGGTGCTTCCGAGAAAGGTTGATCCCATGGCACAGACTAATAGAGAAATGTCAGAAGACACACATATTTTTAGGTGATGGAAACTAACTCAACGCGACTGCCAGGACAGTCAGGCTCGAAGGTCCAATTTTTCTCCAGAGCAGCCATGTTGCTAAGCCAGTTTCTAGAACCACCGCCCACAATTCATGTATATATGCGGAAGCACTGATTATTTGTCAACATCTGCGATTACGAGAGTGAATGCTTTCGACTCAAGACCCGTCTCATGCCTGAGCCTCATCAATTTGTCAGAGATTCTTGCAATTAAACCACCACGAAGTCTTGTGGCATATTTGTACGACATATGCCAATACCATCCAGTAGAAATCTATCCAAATCGATAAGCATCATGTTAATCAGAAAAGGCGGATACGCCTGCCTACCGCAATTCCAGCATATGTAAGGAATGAAGCTCCGATCAATCCATACCCCGCATTTAAAGTGGTGGATCCTTGATTTTCAAAATATGCAATCAACGATGTGGCCAAGAATGGTTGTGCAAAGCTGAAGCCAGTGAGACAAAGTCGTGGTAGCACAGGAAAGAATATGGATGAACCCGAGCATCGTAAAGTTATTCCTAGAAGACCGAAGCGCCTAACTGGGTATGAAAGGTCAGGGGCGGTGATCAGAGGAAATGGCTCAGATGAATACTCACGCTTTGGACGCTTCTGGATGTCATGAAAGTCATTCGCTAGGTGAAATGTACCTAGAATTTGATCAAGCGGTTGTAGATCAAGCAATGTGAGGTTTTGTCTATATCCGTGAAGGAGTAGCTTGTCAAGCCAAACAAATAGCGAGCGATCCACAAAGCTAGCCAACTCTTCGGCCGCAATTCTTGCATTTTCAAGAAGACACTGTTTCTTGCTCCAGCTTTCAAGAACGATAATAATAATTTGGATGAGGAGTGCAACCGAACTCGCCTCGGCAATGTGTATGTAGCCTGTGTCAGTGTTGGCAAGGAGCCAATAAGTCCGCGTAGTTACAGCTTTAAGCAGCACAGTGGTGCACAAGTATGAGCCAATTATGAATGAGGGAGAAAATGAATGCGTATGCTCAAAATGCGACAAAAGCTCCAAGGAAATCGCGGCAACCATTGACAATGTGGTCGCGGGTATCGAAAGAAAAGTTCTGACATGATTACTGCAAATCAATACTAGAGTGGCGAGCTGAATTATCGCGAAGATTATAACTGCGATCTTTAAATATATTAGCTACTTCCAATTGGAGTATAATATGACTATCTACTAAAAGGAATCTGAGGGATTTTGACTGACAAGCTTAAGGGAGTGAAGTGTACCCCATCGGACTATGAGAGGTTTGTTGTGAATTACAAACACTCTTATAGTGGCAAGGATTAGAAAGAGACATGACGGGAGTATTGTGAAAAGATTTCCTCAAAAAGAAGAGTGAAGTCGAAAGGTCTGCGACACTGAAGAACGGCGGGCCCGTATGCCAACTCCTGTGTGAATGAACACGGCATTGTGACAACAAACTAATACACTTGGCAGTTGTCAGAGTATACATATTGTCCTGTGTTTAAATGGTTGCTTGTTTAAATGGTTGCTATCTGAAGCTTATCCGAAAGAGGATCCGATCCATGCACATAAAGCTCGCTAAAGCACCAGGAAGCTTGAAAGACGCAAAGAAATCTCGCTTGTAAGAGCTAATGAATTACTTAGTAACCGACAGTTTGGTTCTTATCGCTATCCAATAGAAGACACAAAACACTACCTGCCTCTTCAAGAGAGTTGTATCAGCTTGTGTTGGTCGCTTCTTTTGTTGTCAATCAATAATGTACGATACAATGTACGAAGTATAATTGACAGTATTCTTACACATGAGCTGCTATCAAAGGTCCCTATAATTGAAGATTTCTTTTGTAATTCGTTTCATACAATATGTCACAGCGGACCGACAGCGGGTGTTGGGCGTGTCGTTTACGGTGCAAAAAGTGCAATGAGGGTGGTCCCCCGTGTGTGTGTATTGAGAAGCACGGGCATGAATTGTCATGGATAGGTATGGGTTGACTGGAAAGACGGAGGCAACAAAGAATGACAAGAAGCAAACCGCCAGGAATAGCCGGGTTTCTAGACAATCCTCAGATGAGTTTTGCAGAAACAGCGGCTAAAATTAACCAAAAAAATTCCGACAAATTACCGATAGCTGCCACAATTGTTATCAATCAAGCATCTGAAACAGATAAATGCAGGAAAGGTGTCTGGCACAGTCAGTGCTAAGAAAGCTTGAATAGAGCTGGCTGACAAACTCACGAATGAGGATGCTCGATCATCGATGAAGAAGTCAAGAATTACCTCAAGACTCGTCAGCCAGGACTGCCGGTGACAATTAAAGTATTTTGTGTGTCGATTGTAATCTTTCCTGCCTTTGATGGTGGCAATACCTTTCACATACGTCCCTGCAATTGGGCAACTACAATCGCATATACCAATCATATATACCAATCCTTCTCATGTTCATACTCTCTATTGTTTCCATTGTTCCAGAAAGATTACACACGCACTTGAGTATGAAGTCAATGCGATTGATGGAAAGTGTGATTTTAATGAGCAGATCGAGCACTGTTCAGGGTTTATCGAAACAAAATGGATGGAAGAATCTGTTAGGCCAACGAAGCCAGTGAGAAGAGAATATACTCTGCTCTACTACGACTGTGTTCCGCTTAGAACGCTTCGATAGATTTAGTTTAACAGAGTGGAATGGTGGCTTGTTCAATGACGCTTGAGATGAAATAGTTGTTGCAAGAAGAACATCCTACAAACGCAATTTCCTTGATTCCCCGCTACTGCTTGTAGAACATTTATTTGTGAACAGAGTCTGGAGTTAATCCGATGCAGGCATCATCAAGAGGAACAAGAAAATCTAGGGTTTTTTGGAGATAGTAGTGGCAGAAGCGAGCAAAATTTTGTTTAGTTGCGCGGGGGTCACTACAACTTCTAAGCGATTATGATGTGGTTGACTCAAATTTTTAGTCATTTAGAGAAAAGACATTGATGCCAGCCAGTTTTGATTGAATGCTAAGTGTCAACTTTGAACTATACTTGGTTAGGATTCAGTATCGCCTGATCTTCAGTACTGATAGCTCAATAACCTATGCTCAGTGTCCATCACTTCATGCATTAGACAGGAATATCGTTAACAGATCTTTCTTAGATCAAAAAGTTGTCCACACTCGCGTTATCCCTTGGAGAGTTACAACAGCTGCTATGCAGCTACATGTTTCATGGCAAACTTTCTTTCCATGTTTCTTTCGAGGTGACAAATATTTTTTTGGAAGTCTTTAGATTTTATGTGAAACATTGTTACTTCGTTGTGATAAAAGATTACCACTTAATGAGTGCTGGTTCCTGTATCAAATTTCCTCTCCATACTTGTGCAAGAGTCTCCTCATAATATTCATAGCACCCCCCTTACTTATTATATGCAATGCGTATAATAAGCGGGCACTGGTCCCCAACATTTGTTTTCACTTCCCTAAATCGAATATATCCATCTTTGTAAAATAAAAAGTTACCTGCTAGAGCCTCTAGAGGCCTAGCCGTCCTATATAGTCTTAGACTGAACGTGGACGTAAATGAAATCAATCAATCAATCAAGCACCCCCCTTATATCCACCTCCAAACATTGCATAATGATTTAGATGATGATACCTAGATCACGAATCAGCAACTTTGATCTACTTTATTCAACCTACAAATTACAAATCAAAAAAACGAAAATCACTATACTCACAATTCATACAACGCACACCTATCATCCCACTCCTCTTGCGGCTCATCCTTCGGCCTAACCTCATGATACTCCCTCCAAAACGCACTCCCAAACCCTCCAAACATCCTCATGATTCCCACCTCAAACTCCGCATGACTCCAACTAGCACTCGAATCATAAACCGCTTCCTCCACTCCTCCCTCCCCAATCCGCCCAGTCCCATGATTCCCACTCCACAAATCCCCATGCACAACCACCGGTTTGATCTTCTCTCCATCACTCCCTCTCAAATGATCATCCCCTAGCAATCTCGGCACAACACTTTCCACAACCTCTTCTACCAATTTCCTTAACTCCCCATCTTTCCCATTATCATTCTCCGCCTTCTCAACAATCCCCCTCAGCCTATTATTCCCATAAAACTCCGCCCAACTCTCCTTAAAACTATTGTCTTGTTTTGTATCTCCACAACAAGTCGTAACAGGGAATCCAAATTGCGGCTCCTGATATCCTTCTGGGATCGGTGCAGAGACACTATGCAACTTTGCCAATTTTCTCGCTAGAGATTGACCTGAACCAGGCGTAGATTTTGCATTTCGTGAGTTCAAATCCAAGAAATCTGTCGCAAGGAAGAATCCTCTTCCAGTTTCTAGGGGTCCATGGGCATAGGATTGTGGACAGAGACTTGGAACAATGGAGTGGATTGCGTTGAGGGAGGCGTGTTCTCCTTGGATGAATTGTGAGCACGTGATTGAGATGCACATCGAACCATTGAGAAGCTATAAAATTTGGCCCAGAGACCAGAAAAAAGTAACGAGTTTGCATACATACCCGTAAACATCTCTTCACTATCCCGCCCCCCGGTCTTCACAAAGAATAATTTTTGCATTCCATCAACGGTACCACTTATCTTGAATGTTTTGGCTAATCCACCGCCGCCATGCTTGGATATCGTTGCCGAAGAAGGATCGAGAGAGAGAGCTTTTAAGATGGCTGGGTCGACTTCTGAAGACATGATTGTATGTTGTTGACATGCTTTGATTTCTGAAGTTCAGAACTAATAATGAAATCATGTCATGTGAATATGACGTAAGGGGTCCATCTTATTTAAGGTTCCGGAATTGGTACAGGGCTCGCCAATCTTTCACGTCTAAAGTTTGTTGAAAGGAACTCAAAAGCAATCGCAAGTCACTTGCGATGGGCACATGTTAAATATATACAATTCAACTCTAGCTATGCAGTCTATATGTTCATATATACTATTAACCCTAAGTTCTAGCTCTCCTAGGATCCATCGCGTCACCCTTCTTATAATCTCTAACCTCCTTAGTCCCCATACTTCCCATTCCACCTTCAATTCTTCTCTCCCAGCCCCCAAGCCTAACAACCAAGCATGTTGCATTATCTCCTTCTTTACTCACTTCTGTGGAAAAACTAACAATATCTTTCGCCCCTTGTTCTGGTGTTTTTGCCTCCTTCACAACATCCACAATTTCTTGGTCGCTCAATGTGCCACTAACACCGTCGGAAACCAAGACCAAAAAGCTGTATTCAGCTGGAGATATCTCTACGCGTCTAATTTCCGGCTCGGCAGAAACACCTATGCGCTTGGAACGCATATCACCGAATGCTCTTGTATTAGCCAATCCAGACATGCGCTCTTCACCAAATGAGTCTGTGACAAAGGTTGCAGCATATCTTCTTAGTCTTCCTCCTTCAACTGGTGAACTTGGATGATGATTGGTAGTCACAGGTTTGGCCAACCCGGTCAAAGTCTCACAAAGTATTATACGAGTATCGCCAACGTGGGCGACCATCAGTGTCGAAGGAGAAGATGGATGCCAGAAAGGAGTCGGCGTTGGAGTAGATATCATGGCAACTGAAGCAGTTGAGCCGCCAACAAAACGCGTAGGCCCTCCAATGCGATGTGGAGAGGAATAACGCGCAGGCTCCCCTAGGATTTCATCCGCATTCAAAGGCGAGTCGGTGTTATTATCATCCGGACTAGGTTTTCGAGCTTGTGCTGATATAAAATCTAAATCTGCTTTCAAAAAAGCATACATTAAGGCTGCTTCAATCGAAACAGGTTTCCTTATTGGCTCTCCTTCCATAGAATCAAGGAGATCGAAATATTCCGGTTTGAAGCGGCGGAAATATCCACCGACTGTTATTTTCCAATCTGAAACAAGTGATTTTTCCAACTCAATTGCTTTAATTTTATTAGAAATTTGCTGAGAGATCGGTGTTCCTGATCCATCATCCTGCCCTTCTTTGCTTGCCACAGACGTGCCCGAACTGGGGATTTTCGCCTTCTTGTCCAAACTTGAAGGAAGCTTAAATATTTCTGCAGTCGACTCAATGTATTTGTGTAACTCCTCCCTCAAAAAATCACTACACTCATTTCCCCCATGCCCATCAAACACACCAAAGTAGAATACTTGCGGATCTCCACTCGCACCATCTGCCGATGTACCACCACTTGTGATGCTTTTGGAATTCGAGCGATTTAGACTTATAGGAGCTCGCTTTGCAAATGCTGGGATCTCTATCGTTCCTGCCTGGTATGCATCTTCATTGTATGGTCTCGTACCACGGGAAACAGAAACTCCAAAATGATGTTTTGCGCTTCGTAAAGGTATTCGCACAACCGTAAGTTCTCTAGATGTTCCAATGGTTGGAGGAGCGGCAGCTGGAGAAGGACCTGAGCCGGGCGTATGTGGTGTTGAGGCCGATCTTGGCAATTTGTGATGCGGGCCGCTCGACCGAGAATCAGGATGAAGAGATGAAGAGGGAAGATGCGTTGTGAAGTAGTCGTGAAACCATCTGTTCTGTCCTTCCTGATGCAGACCTGTTTGTTTGTCTGATCTGCGAGATCTGATACGATGCCTGGGAGATGAGTGTGACGTGCTGAATGCCAGTCTACCAACTTGTGTTACGGTACTGGGGCTCGCGGTCGAAGGACATCTGCGGGTTATGGATCCGTTGAGGAAGGTGGATATGAAGTCTGTAGATGCATATTAGATGCGGTGGTTGGGAATCGCATAGAACAGCAACAAACATACCATACGAATCTGCCAAGGACCATGGGCCCCGAGCCATTGGCTTTATTCTTCCCATGATCCACCGTCAAGCTCTTCGAAACCCAAGAGAAACCTCAAGCACAATTGATTGATGTTTTGAAACTCTATACCATCAAACGAGATCAACGATGTCTTATGAAGAGTTGAGAGGAGCAGCCGAGGTCGGCAATATGGACATATTTAGGCACAATCCAACAACAGCACCTAATTTCCCCAAATCGATTACCGTATTCGATGTTTTTCAATGAGTAACTCAGAAACGGGGCCCGCGACGAAATTGATATAATATGTTGGGATATCTTATTGAAGTTACTCAGATCATGTTTAAAGGAATTGTTCTTTTGTCAAGATCTTGTCTAGCAAATTCAACATCATCGCAATGTTCATATGCTCAAGTTGGCGATGGATGAACATAAGGTTTTCCCCACAATTTCCGGTACTAGACAGGGGCGCGGATAAGTAGCCTTGCCTTGTGGTTCAAACTGCATCATCATTTCATGCCATTCACATTTTCATACAATACCCACGCAATATCTGATATTAAGAATCCTACGATATGATCTCGCGATAAATATCTTGCGAAACCCAGTGATCGTGTCATTGATGTGACGACATGTCTTTATTGAGTTGTTGGCCATACACATGGCGTCGTCACTAAATGTCATTTGGTGACGGGCATAAACGATTTAGAACCCCTACTTTACCTACCGCAATATACGACGGCAGGTTGGCCAATCTGTTAATATATACTTTAGCGGACCTCTTACAATATGTTATCCTCCTTTCCTTCTCATCTTCCTTGATCATAATACACCCCATCGCATAGCCATTGAGATAATTTGCCCTTTTGGCAACAGCACATGAAGCCGTCCATGTTCCTATTTGCCATTCCTACCACGTAGACTATAAACTATGATGTGGTGCGAGACGACGACCCCACAACCCCTTATTGAAAGGCTTGAGTGAAAAGGTTTTATCTGAAGTAGTTCAAGCAGTGCTGTCCTCCTGAGACTAATTAGATGTATCAGCAATAAAGAAACAAAAGGTCGTTCTCATATGAAAATTGTCTAAAACATCAAATGAAGGTGGTTTGGTGCTACTTGAACACCGTCAGACTTTTCGCCCACGGAGAGCACTAGTATTTACTGTAATTCATTCTCAAGGTGTTCAACTCAAAAACATAATTTGAAGAACACCAAGGAACAGTATATCTTTATAGCTAACCAACATCATTCAGCTCTACCCTGTACCTTCCTCTCACCTCCTCGATTCTAAACCTGACAACCCCTTTAGCCGTAAACCGAGAAGATAATCCTGACAGGAACAATAATAAGCCACATTCGAAACAGCCTGGAGTATCATTCCATCTTACATCTGAAATAATTACTTTGGTCTTCCTACAATATCAAATAGTAAGCTTACCTCGCTTACCATCTAATCCCTATCCTACCTACTCGTAGTAGTACCTAGGTAGTTATTCTTAGGTTTGACATGAGGCTGAGGTCTCCTAACTTGCAGATATCTATCACTCTCCGCATTTCATACCAATGAATCCATGGATCTCAACAGTATCAATTCCTGTGGCAGTGTGCATTGAGCATAATTTGGAGAGTAACACGCCATGTTATCGTCTCTCCCTGCCAACCATCTAATCAGAGCTATCTGCTGTGAAGTGCAGGTACGATAATAATAAAAACTTATCATAAGTTTCACAAATATTCCTTTTCCGGCCCATCCTTCAAGCAGAAAGCCGAGTACAATAATCAGGGGCTCATGATATTCAAAGCAACACCAATAATTGATTGGACCCCCAATCCTTCGCTCCTTCGCTTTATGCACCAATCCCAGCCCCCGCTCCCGAAATGAGAACGAGGCATTGCTTTTCAGCCTTGCTACACTTTTCCAACTGTTGTATTCTTTTTATAACTTTGCCCTTGTGTGAGATGCATTCACTAATCTTGTGGAGATTTTCTTCTGCTCTAATTGTGAAGCCCAGTGCATCAGCCATGCTGTATATGGAGGTGAATCCTTCATGTAATGCCTGTATAGGAATGTGTAGATGACTTCAAATATAACCTGTGATCCTCCATCTTCGATTTTTTCTAATTCCCTCAGACAATTTCTTCGCAGTACATAAACTTCTCTTCCTTTATCAATCGCTCGTTGATATTTCTTATACAACTTTACGTACAACTTTTAATACAACCTCCACATCACAATTCTCTCATTACCACCATGCCTACGGAATACAAGAACTCTTTCTGGGCTTGCTGCTCCCCATTCGATCTCTGTACGTTTCCCAATCTCATTCCCAAGTACCATTCCAAATCAATATACTAACAACCCATTCCAGGCCTCAAAGCATGCTGCTGTCCCTGCTTCGTCTCCGGTCGCAACCACCATCGTATTGAACACGGAAATGATGATGATTATTCGACATGTAATGGCTGGTGCTGCGGTTGGTACGGTCTTGCTGCTATCGGAGGATTCTCATTCGTATTGCAAATGCTTGATCGTCAAAAGATGCAGAAGCAACATGGTTAGTTCCTCCTTATTCATATTCCCACTTCGTCCGTAGCTCTCCTTTCCCATACCCGCCTTCCAATCAAGAAATCAAAACTAACACAACCCCAAGGTCTCGAGGGAAACGCCTGTACCGGCTGCATGGGGTCCTGTTGTTGTGCCTGCTGTGAATTGATGCAAACGAGCAAGGAACTGGACTACATTCTCCTCGAGAAAAATGCTGGTGCAAATGGGTATCAACCTCAATCTGGAATGGTTGCCGGTCCCCAGGCTGGTGCTTATAACTAAGTTTCTGATGAGTAGATGATTTTTGAGGTGTTTCTTTCGGGTTAAATTCTTTTCTGGGCTGCTTTGGGTTAGGGAAATATGGGGAAAACACCACTTGTGATAAATAAGGAGTTTGTTTATACCATTAGTTTTAGTACACTGAAGTTCAAACTTATTCCATAAAAACGCTGGCTGCTCGCTAAAATTGAAGTATGAAAAAAAGACTAACCTAGTCATAATCAAAGAGGTGTGAATGCAATATAAATCATAGGTGGAAAAGTGTCTTAATGTATAGGATAATTCTAATTGAAAAGAAGCCTGAAGACTCTCTAAAACAGGAGGGAATTAAGCACAATGGACTCTCTATGCACCAAACGAGTGGAAGCTATCACAAACGCTGTTCAAAACCATGCAATTCTCCACACTCTGACATATACACAAACAAAATTACGAGACTGCCGCAATTGGTTCGTCTTCGTCCAACCCTTTTCGTCTACGAACCTCGCTTTCTTCAACGCTGATCTTGACTTTGCCATTGGCACCAGTGCTCTTCATGGCAATAGCTTTGTCCTTCTGTCTGCCTTCTTTGGCGGGCTGGAATCTCTTTCTAACGGCCTCGATCATTTTTCCGAACCAGTAAAAGTTCAAGGTGTTGAGCACAAGATTGCTTCCCAAATACGTAAACCCTAACCAAAGAGGAATAAATTCGTCGTCGGCGAAGCGCATAATGTCATTTTTGAGTGGAGCCGCACTATGACCTGCTGCTGCATCAGCTGCAGAGGCAGTCCCATTTGTGAGGGCATCAATGTTGATAGAAGCAGAGAATGCAGGCTGGTTATGCATAGATCTCCATACATCTTGGTAAACACGAACTGACTGATATGTTCCCCACACAAGTCGGCAGCAGAAAAAGGTAAAGAGGAGGGCAATTCCATTGTAAAGTTGGGGCTTAGATCCGGTCATATCGAGTTTGTCGAAGAACCAATGGAAGTTGAGGAAGGGCGAGGAGAGCTCGTAAAGAATAAATGTGCAGCCATAAAAGTTAACAAATGGTCTCTGTAGGGAATCTGTTAGCAATGTTCATTTCTTGGGAAATGCATGGACTTACAAAACCAAAAGAGAAAACCAATAGAGCACTAGTCGCATGTGCCAGCATTCCTATTCCAAAAACTCTGAGATTCTGGAGGGTGATCATCAGATCCCAGAGGAAATAGCCAGTCGCAAGACCTTGGATCATGCCAGCAGCACCCGTATATCCGTGAACACGTTCCTGTGCTGTCATGTTGCTGCGCTCCTCATCCGCAAACATTACCCATAGGGCCAGGACATTGATAAGAGAACTCTGGCATAGTGAGACCACATGTACATCCCAGTTGAGCTTTCGTTCTGCCGAAAATTTGGAGTACTTGTCGGGGAACAAGAGCATGGAAACTTGGGGTGCGATGACTTTATTTATAAAAGTATATGCTAAAAATGATCCGACAACTTCGTGAACATGGAGAGGTAGTGTAGTTAGGTGGAAGTAGTCGGCGAAAGGTTGAACGGCCTGGCTAAGCCATTGCCATGGTGGAATAGGGAATGGATCATGCATCGGAGAAATGATGTGTCGAAAATTAGGGTAAATCTGAAAGGGACGACAAGATAGTAACCTTCTTGTCGTAACACACAACGAGTGTGTTTAGGAGCGAATCTAACTCTCCTCGTTGTAATGCGGAAATCGAGATATTTATGTATCTATGTACGGTATGTATGATGAAGTAGGCAGGTCTGAAACGACCGACCGAGGGTGTCAAATAGTAATAAGGTTCCACTTTCCTGTCCCAACAAATCGAAGGTGTACTATGTAAGATCTGGGAGAATTAACCAATTACACTTTAAAGTTAAATCTTAGCATCTTTAACCGAGACAGATAAGTGGAACAGGGGTGATGTGTATAATCTTTGTATGGGGTATTTATATTGAACTTACTCGAGAATGCTGCAGAACTATTCTAGATGTTTATATTACGGTTTGTATTACGGCCAGGTTCAGTTGTAATAGACTAATAATCATGTTGTTGCACTTGATGAATCATTGCTTTGTATTTTATCATGTTTCGAATTTCTCTCAAGACCCTATCATGAATCAATTGACTTCAGCAACAAAATGTCTTGCACGGTTGCACACGTGAATGAAATGAATGATTAGACTGCCACGTGGAATCGATATACACATGATATGATAACGAGATGAATGATCCGTAGTATCATGTAGAACTGACCTCCTTTCCTTCAAAAATAGTCGTTCGTTCAACGCCTGCATCATACACCAACTCCTGTATTGACTTTCTTGCTCTGAAATCCCGGGCTCCGTTCTTACCGAAAATAATAAAACTCGCAGGAGCTCCAACCTCCAACTTAAGACTGCGCGTGATATCAAGACCTATTGCTGCTCTTGCTCTTGTAGATACGCATTCCTATATTTCCTGATTAGTGGTATTCTGAATTGCTGTCGATCGAGGTACCATTACCAATAGGATCTCGGCATCTGCCTTTGTGCCTGTTTGATAAATGCCCATACCCAGACTTGTGAGACTCATAGGGTCACAACTACCGTAAGGGGTGAAGGCATTGCCGACGTTATTAATTCCTATAACTGCGTTGAGATCGTATTTCCTTATCATCTCAATCACTTGAAGTGTGCCCCTTGCTCTGCTACTCCCACTGGCACCCTTCGCAGGCCGACCCATCATGAACAAATCCGATGTAGGTAATCCGACAAACGCGATAGGTAAATCGCCAATCTCAAGGCGAAGATCCCGCCAGGCATTCTCATCAAAGAGTGTGAGTCGGGTGCAATGTCCAAGTACAACAGTTCGAAGTTTCAAGCCCGCGATATTTCTGTCAGTAAGCCACTGGACCTTACGGAGTTGTTCAATTACCGTATGAACGGCAGGCTTTTGGTTTGAATCTAGATTGTAGTCGAGGTGAAAATCCAGATGTAATGTGTGTGATTTCGCCGTTTCAACGGCCCATTGAATGTTTTTCTCTTGGAGGGCAAAACTTTTCTCGACGTATGGGGTACTTCCAAGCACCTCGACCCCGGGTCGTTTGATTGCTTCCTCGAGCAAATCTGACATTGATCGAGGTCCATGGTCGTGACTGAAGATTGGGTCCTGGGCAAATACGCATATCTGAATATGACACTTGCCATAAAATTCCGCTTTCAATGCCAATCCAGCATCCAAGCATTTCATCCCAACACCAAAGTCTACTTCAACAAAAGCTCGCATATGAGTGACACCGAATCGAATGCTCTCCTCAATCAAAGCCCTCCCCCTTTCCACAAGATCATCATGTTCGAAACGTGACTTGGCTTCACCTAACACATACAGAATTTAGAACAAGTTAAGAATGTGTTTATGGTGGCAATATCAACTTGATGATTGACGAAACATTCAGAGAGAGACAAACTAGTTAATTTCATTGCCTCGGGAAAATCACCGTCGTTGATTTCTAGATCTGCATATTTTGGATGTGATAACAAGAAGCATTTATCGAGATGGATGTGAGGGTGACACAAGCCAGGGACTATAAGGCGATAGTCCTTTTGCTTCGCGGAATCTGATGTAGAGTTGTCTGCACATGTAATTGAGCGAATAGAACCTGTCAAACAGTTGACATCATGACATGAGTCCGAAGGATCTCCAGGAATATGAACATCTTTGAAGCTTGAGATTTCATTATCCTGTAGCTTCTTCGGTTGCTCAACATTTGGCATGAGGGTTTCTGACATTTTGAACGTATTTTCGAAGTGATAATTTACTCCTCTCCATTGGCAATCCGCAGATTTAAAGAAAGTGATGTGGGGAATTGTGAAGGTCCCGCCCGCCAGGTCTCGGAGTGCAGTAGCGTACTTTTGGAGCTCTTGGGTGAGCATCAATCATTGCTCTAACATTTTATTTTATTTTACATCAACCACGAAACAAAACTACAAAACAACCTGAGCCGGTGTCATTTTGGGTGTCAAAATGGCAGATCCATTATATGAGCTTCTCATTCCATATTTTGATAAACCGTCGCCACGACCAGCACCACCGTCGATTGATCCCACAACTGCCACCTATTTGAATCGACTCTCTACCCTTCCCCTTTCCTCACTAAATACTTCCGAGCCTCAATCGCTTTCCCAAACATCCCACTCTCTTCTTCTATCTCTACAAGCTCTGTCCAAGCGCTCTCATAAATCAGTCATCGCATCTTCCGACCATTTATCGACACTTACTACTACTCTCCCTACCCTTGCAAAAGCCACCGCAGACTTACGAGATGCCCTTCCCAAGCTGGACGATGCAGCTATTCATTTCAGCGAAAACTACAATAATCGAATTGAGAATGACGTCCTCGATCGACGTCGCAAAGCTCTTTTATTATCACGCAACGTAGACAGGCTCGCGGACGTGCTCGACTTACCTACCTTACTCTCTACCGCGATATCCTCTTCGAACACAATTCCTAGCGGTACGACTGGTAGAGAAAATAATACATTAAATTATGCTTCTGCCTTAGATCTGAATGCACATATCAGACGACTGCACGCATTATATCCTACATCTCCCCTCATAACGAGTGTATCCTCACAAGCGGAGGAAAAGATGCAATTTATGGCCACAAATCTCATATACTCCTTGCGACAACCCTCTCTCAAACTTGCAGCTGCTATGCGTACAATCTCTTGGCTACGGCGTGTCTCCCCCGAACTCGATCCTTCTATATCCATACCAAGCTTCTCACAAACACGAGAAGGGGCGTTAGGCTCTTTATTCCTTGTTTGTCGCCTCGCCAGTCTTACAGCTATGCTTAATGCACTCAGTCCTTTGCGAGATCTCGCTGATCAAGAATCATTGCGGTTAATTTCATCGACTGGAAAGGCAGGAGGGAACAAATTCGATGCAGGGCAACAGACAGAAAAATATTTAAAACGCTACATTGAGATATTCCGGGAGCAGAGTTTCGCAATTATTTCCATGTTCCGTTCTATAT